TCTCAGCCTTTGCGTTGTTATTTTTTCCCCCGAATTTGTTGCTCCGATTACGCTTGTCGTGTTTATTTCTCTCGTTTGCCGAAAACACCTTGTCCTCACCACCGTTCTTGTCGCCTTGTCGACGTTCCTCCTCAAGAACTTTTGAAATGAGCTGCTCTATACCAGGCAACTCGTCTCTGCTCTCGACAGCAACAACAAAATTTTCCATCTCTTCTGGTAGAGCGCACAGCAGCAATACAGCAACAAAATCGTCGTTCAACTCCAAACCAATACTTTTCAGGTCGTCTATTATGCCTCGGAATTCTCCGATTTGTGATGACAGCCGTTGACCAGAGCTAATTTTGAAACGTACCAATCTTTTAAAGAGATTTACTTTTCTACATGCCGTGTTGGCCTTGTACAGTCCACACAAAGTGTTCCATGCACCCTTGGCAGTTGTGCAATCTTTAATGTTTATTAACTCACTCGGCTTCACACTTAAATTAATCACTGCCAGAGCCTTTTGATCAATTGCTATCCAATTGGCCTTTTTGGATTCATCCGTTGGACACTGTTCCTGAATCACATTCCACATATCCAAAGTTATCAGCAAACTTTTCATTTGTATGGACCATGTTGTATAATTCTCACTGTCCAATTTTTCCACGTTAGCTACTGAATTCATTTTCTTTTTTCTTTTTTTTTTATAAAAACAATATACTTAATCAATATTTTTCTCACAGTATAACGCGTGGCCTTTGTTGAAACTAAAACTTTCGTTAGAATAAAACACACGACCGTATTCAGTGAATTCGTTTATTGAACTAAACAGTAGTAGAAAACATAAGGCAATGTAAAGCTAAAAAGGAATTAGGATAAAACAAATATGCGATTGGGTTGCAGAGTCGTATTCGATGTTAAGATCGAGTTGCCAATACAATGTAACATCCGTTACAACAATCTAATTACCAACAGTAATGGCTTGTGACAAACAATGCCTAAAATATTAACAGAATTTTTGGCGAATGTTATCTTTTTCGAAAATTTTGAAATTAGTTCTAAATGGTGGAAGGTATTCAAAGTTCGGCACGGCCGAACTTACTGCTTTGTTACTTGTTTATACTTTTTTGGTAAAAATCAAGCCGTTTTTATACCCTCCACCATACTATGGAGGGTATATTAACTTTTTCATTCCGTTTGTAACTCCTCGAAATACTCATGTCAGACCCAACAAAGTATACATATTCTTGATCAGCGTAAAATTCTAAGTCGATTTAGCGATGTCCGTCTGTCTGTTGTAATCACGCTATCTTTCGAACGAATTGAGATAGAAGGCTAAAATTTTGCACACATGTTTATTTTGCCAGCAAATGGGCCATGTAGGGCCACGTTTTCATATAGCCCCCATATAACGGTACCTCCCTATATTTGATATTTTGATGATTTTAGCAACATTATTAACCGAAATTGCTTCAAATTTGAAGTTCCTAACGGATACTACAGCCTATGACAGAAAATTGTCTGTGCAGGTCCACGTTTGATGATTCTAGGTACAATACTCACCTAAATTGTTTGAGATGTCGTATTTGAAGTTCGTAATGTGACAGAAAATTGACTATGCTGGCCCTGTCTTCGCACAGCTCCGATATAACGGTACCTCCCTATATACGATATTTTGATGATTTTAGCTACATTATTCACCGTTTATTTCAAGTTTCGAATTTAAATATGGTAATGGCTTATGACAAACAATGCCTATGTAGGTCCACGTCGTATACACCCCAATATAACTATTATCTTCAGCATTTTTAAAATTGTAACAGAATTTGTTAAGGATTTTATTTTTTTTTTTAAATTTCCAAATTCGTTCCAAATGGTGGAGGGTATTCAAAGTTCCGCCCGGCCGAACTTACTGCTTTTTAACTTGTTTAAATTCCACTTGGAACTGGAAATATTGCATCAGAAGCGCAGTAACCTCCCAAAAATTTAGGTTTTGTATGCACACATCTATTGATCGATTACAGTCTCCACATTTGGAATGCGCAACGGAATTTAAAACAAAAATAAATTTGCCAAATTATATGGAAATCAGTTCAGATTTGGATGTAGCTCCCATACATATTTTCCGCCGATTTCATGTATTTGATGCACTAAATACGCTATGTATCAATTTCAATAAGTGTGTAACGTAATTTTAAACGAACATACATTTGTCAAATTATAGTGAAATCGGTACAGATTTGGATATAGCTCCAATATATATTTTCAATCGATTTAATTTATTTAATGTACCAAACACGATATGTATATTCGATTCCAATGAAATTTGTCATGAGTAACTAAATTTTGTACAAAAATATATTTGTCAAATTATATTCGAATCGGTTCAGATTTGGATATAGCTTGCATATATATCTTCGACCGATTTCGTTTATTTGGTGCACCAAATACGATATGTATGTTCTATTTCGATGAAATTTGGAATGAGTGACGGAGTTTGATCAGAAAATAAATCGCTTACGTTTTGGATATAGCTCCATATATATTCTCAGTCGATTTTACATATTTGATGCACCAAGCACGGTATGTATCTCCAACATCAATGAAATATAGAAGGTGTGGCGTAATTTGGTGTAAAAGTAAATTTTGTCAAATTATATTGAAATCGGTTCAGGTTGGGATATGATGATCGGCTCAGATTGGATTATGGTATTGGGCTAACAGTAAAAAAAGTATACAAGTATGTTGCTACCTCGAATTCTCTAATTGCAACAGAACTGCCACTCAACTTCAAAAGATTGCAGTTTCCTGCACGCTTGGCATAAATCGGAAAGACAAACCGTTCATGTATGCAGACTAAATTTGGCATATTCCTCCTTTTCTCATGGTCAGCTGTTCCTGGCCTGTTCATGCGTTGGTAAACCGAGGTATTTGTTTGTTTACGCAGTAAAGTATTACAATAGCAACTTTTTTTTTAAATTTTTGAATTTGTTTTATTATTTTTGAATGCATAAAATATCAAAAGGGGTAGCGAAGCGCACCGGGTTTAGCTATTTGGTATAAAAGATTAAAATGTCTCCGTCAAATTTATTGAAAATCGATTCAGAATTGGTTATGCCTCCCCTATATTAGTTCCCTCTGAAACCAAATTATATCTGATCTAAAGCCAAGTGTTGATAGGTGGTATGATATACATGAAATAAAGTCATTTGTTACGAGAACTCTACTAAATATACATAGTGGTGTAGGTTATAATATAGTTGACCTCGCACAACTTTTGACTTTTCCCTACTGGTTTATATTATCTCTTGACAGACTGATGTTAAAAATGATATGTAACTTGCCATCTTGAAGTACTTTAAAGTTTTCTTAAGTATTTTCAAATACATATTTTTTACTATGTCTCAATCGCATCTTCCTTCGTCTACAAATTCATATTCTCCGATGCTGGAATGCTAGGCTCAACTCTAATAACAATTTAAGAACTTAATAATATAAAAACCAAAATGAATTATCTAGCCCATGCAAATCAGAATCTTTTGATTTCTCTGTTCGAAAACAACAATTTATACTTTGCTAAAAATGTTGGATTGTAACTATAGTCAATATACCGATTGTAAGTTTTCATGGTTTAAGAGTGTTATGTTTTGTATATTTTATGGTTCTAATTAAGGTAACATTTGTCCATCAAATGGGCTGTAATTGTTCTTCATAATGATGCTGCAATGTAGTTACTTTCTGTCCTTATTATTGAGAATATTGGTTCCTGATTAGGCATAGCCTCCGTATAGCATTTTTGTGTCTTATTGTATGCAATTTTACCATACGAAAATAAAAGTCTCCCGTTTTAATTTATACAATTACCAATTTTTAGACAAATCCAGCTATCCGAAAACGTGCATACGCGATTTTTTGTTGTAGGCCGTAGTATCAGTTACGAGCTTTATCTACTAAATTTAAAACAAATCCGTATAATAACGTCGCTAAAATCATCAAAATACCGAATATCGGGAGGTATCGCGATTTTTTGTCATAGTCTGTAGTGCCTACTACGAACTTTTAATACGAAATTTGAAACAATTCCAGTAAAAAATGTCTCAAAAATCATCCGAAATCATCATACCGAATATTGGGAGGTACCGTTATACAGAGGCTATGTGAAAACGTAGACCGATATATAATATTTCGAGAAATTACAAACGAAATGTCAAAGTTAATATACCCTCCATAGAATGTTGGAAGTATAAAAGTGTATGATAAATGTAAAAAAATTTTCCAGTTTGGTTTAAAATGTATATTTTAATTTTCTAAATCTGAAATATTGTATTACGATAAATTCCCACGAAAACCGCCAGTAATCCTTATGTTAAATAGCAAATCTTGACTTTTCTTTTCAATTTAGTATGTCTAAAATCAACTATGTGAAGCTTATTTTGCAGCATTCTATTCAGGAAATGGCACTGGACTTGGAAAACTTCAAAAGTTATTCGATTTTGCTCCACAGCCTATGAATGGTCTATGTATGCTAATTAAAGCGTAGTAAAGCACAATTCAACACGGTTAGTTCTTAATTTGTTGATGTTATTCTCTTAATTTGTGTCCATATTCGGCTCACTTTTGTTTTCAGTTTAATTTCCGCTTTTTTGTTTCATGATAATGAGATTTTCCAAGTTTTGGCACACATCAGCATTTTATTTTCGTTCCGGATGGACAACGTAACTGGTAGAGAGAGGGAGAGAGAGAGAGAGAGAGGGAGAGTGTTACGCCGTCTTCCCAACTATGTATGTGTTACCATATTAAGAACAGCGAGCCTGCACAAAATGACCAGTAGCAATAAATCAAGCTATCAATTAAGTACCGTGGTGATCTTGCAGGGATTTACAATTGCCCGATCGAATGGGCTTAAGACGGCGAGGTATGTACATATGGTGGACACAACCAAACTGGAATGACTTGCTTCTCGAGTGGTATGTATCTTAGCCGTTTGAATCGACGAGTACATGATCAACTGACATTTAGGCTACTCTTCGTCAATGGGCACTATCGCATATCCAAAGGAAGAAGCTAAGCCGATTTGTCGTAGTATCTCTACCGTCCATGTATTTCTACTGCCACAGTTCGGTGGCGTTGCTGTGTGTTGTGTGTACGTATATAAATCATGTGTAATATTTACTTGACATCCGTGCCAAAAGCGAAGCTAAAAGAACAATCAAGAAGTAAAGCACGGCCCCATTGCAACATTCGGCATTCGAACGCTGATGTTGGTGCTGACAAACAGTTCGATGACGGCAGATCCAAACTGGGAAAAGGCGCAATGCAGTTAGAAAAATCAACGCTTAATAGTCACAATCGAATGAATGACCGAGCGAGTGACTATAAATCATGGAATGCTTATGAACAACAATTGACCGAACACAACGATGCTACAAATTACTTTTAACGTATTAAAGCAGATCTTTGCACATATCCACAAGAAAGTGCCAACACAATAATTTTTTGTCCTCGCCTTTGCAGTATATACCATACGAATGACAAAAATGTCCCATTGTGAGTCGTGAGACAGTGAAATATTCGTGAAGGGTCCTCATTGAATATTTTATTGGGATATCATAAAATCGGGAAGATCCATTATATGGCTTGCTATACGAAAATGAATTTTATGCTTATCAAGAATATTTACTTCGGAGGGGCAGATCATACATATTGAATATGATCTCTGATGTACGTCTTGAGATGTTGCAAACGGATTGACCACACGTGTAAATGTAAAAACAGATATGAAAAGGAAAACGATCGAGAACGCTTCTTTGCAGAGTTATACAATGAATTCAACCACATGATATCTTTCTTACCGGTAAGCTATAAAATAATGAGGCATTCCTATAAAATTTACATGACAAACAGTATAAAAATTGTTAAAAAGACCTTGCTATTCATTTTTATAGCCTCCACTATTCTATGGAGGGTATATTTACTTTGTCATTCCGTTTGTAACTCTTTGAATGTCAGACCAAATAAAGTACATATATTCTTGATCAGCGTGAAATTCTAAGTCGATTTAGCGATGTCCGTCTGTCTGTCTGTCTGTTGTAATCACACTATCTTACCAACGAATCGAGACAGAAGGCTAAAATTTGCACACATGTTTATTTTGCCAGTAGTGAAGTTCGTAAATGGGCCATTTATGTCCATGTTTTCATATAGCCCCATATAACGGTACTTCCCATTATTCGGTATTTTGATGATTTTAGCGTCATTATTCACCGGAGTAGTTTCAAATTATGGATTTAGAGTTCGTAATGGGAACTACAGTTTGGACAGAAAGTTGTCATGCAGGTGCAGGTCTTCACAAGGCCCCATATATCAGTACCTCCCTCTATTCGGTATTTTGATGATTTTAGGTACAATACTCACCGAAATGGTTTGAGATGTCGTAATTGAAGTTCGTAATGGAAGCTACAGCCTGTGATGGGAAATTGTCCATGCAAGTCCAGGCCTTCGTATAGCTCCGATATAACGGTACCTCCCTATATAAGGTATTTTATGATTTTAGCTACATTATTCACCGTTTATTTCAAGTTTCGAATTGGAATATGGTAATGCTTATGACCTACGCTTATTACCTATGCAGGTCCATATCGTCGTATAGATCCTAATATAACGGCTACATTCGGTATTTTTAAGATTTTAACAGAATTTTTAACGGATTTCATTTTTTGAAAATTGGAGGGTATTCAATGTTCGGCCGGCCGAACTTACTGCTTTTTAACTTGTTATATTTCAATATTCTTTATTTAAATTTTGAAACCATTATGCACGTTTTTTATAAGAAAACATATGTTCTTTGGGAATGAAATTGCGTTTTCTATGAAATTACAATCCTGCAGCATTTGTGTCCCATTCTTCTGACCGATTCCAATTTTTAGTCCCCTCATGATTTCGCGTAACTTGTATTTTATATAGGATATCCACCATCATAGCAGCAAATTTTAATAGTTCTGCCACTCTTTTGACGAAAATGAACGAATCCCCCAATATATTTGAATACATAGTTGGACTACTCCAATTTTCGATTTTAATTAATATAAATAAAGTATTACCAATTTTAAGGTAATTTCATGGAAATTGAACTGTCGTTTCACCTCTGTCGTGCAATTGGGAATACTAATAATTTTTATCTCACTACACACGTCCACGAAATCAGAATCAATTTAATGGTCAGAAGTGATTTCGATGGAAATTTACTTGCAGGATTAAACATATTCGCGATTGAGTGGCAGTTTTGGTGTTTTTCACAAAAAGGGTCCATTCCGCTCTCTAAATGCTATCCAATGACCATCCAAAAGGTAGGTTTGTGTCCTGTTCCAAACACAATATTATGCGTCAGTTATATATATAGTCTATAATTGTGGGCTGTAGAGCGATAGCAAGATGTGGAATGGATTGGTCAATAGAGTGAATTTAACACGAACAGACGCACGGACGGATATTCGTAGTTAGATCGATTTGACAAATTTACATTCATGCTACATATGTCTTAGAATAACTACAATTCCTTTAGAGTGTTTTGAGATGGGTTCTAATTCAAGATAAAACCGAAAAAACATACATGTAAAAGTTATAGCCATTTCTCAAAATAATAAATAACATTACTGAACTGTATCGACCGTCTGTCTGTCCTCGTGCCAAATGCGAAACATCAGCCCGAATAAAATAGATTTGGCACATACGACCAAAATCAACCTAGAAGCTATCGATAAGTCTATCTATCAGAGGAATTTCAGTGCTTTCTAAGTTTTTCTGGGACTTGTGCGATAAATTGATTACAGAATACTGGAAAATCGTGGAAATTATTGCAATTTTCATAAAACACAGATTTGATTTTAGAAGTAAATAATTTCTGCATTCATTTTCTCACCTATATTAAATTACTCTTTTAGGGTTCGCTTGCATACATATTCAAAAAAATAGTTTTCTTTTTCACAAAAATTTATTTACATCACTTTACAGCGTTACCTAAAATTCGACGCACTCGGTCGACGTTTTTCACCATACATTTTAAACACATGTTTTTATATGAATCTTACCCAAATACGTCGAGCGTACGAATTTCGATATTGACAATTGAACAATCTCTTTTTTTGTGTGTGGACAACTGAAATGAATATATTTAATACCCTCCACCATTGGGTAAAGGAAACATTTTTATATAAAAGTATCTGGATTCAAAAGTGTTGTACTTTAAACTACAAATACCGTAAGACTACTTGGATAACGCCGTAAAAAACCATATAGCGGGCGAATTCGTTATATGGGGGCCATACTAAAACGCAAACCTATATAGATAATTTTATACCACAGGGAATGCTATTTATTGTGAGTCTTAAATACCAAATTTGAAAGACTTTCGTGGGTAAATGTGACTAGTATTATGAAAATACTGAATATCAATGTGTACCTTTATATGTGGGCTATAGGAAAACGTGGACCTAGATATTCACTTTTCTCCCACCGTAGCTAGAACCTATTACAAACTACAAATACCATTTTTTGACAAATTCGTGGGAAAAATCATCAAAATACCGAATATCGGGAAGTACCGTTACATGGCGGCTATACCAAAACGTGAACCGATATATCTCAATTCAATACCAACAAACAATAATATGGGCTGTATCATGTTTTTCACCGACAGACAGACTTACATCGTTAAATCGACTTAGAATTTTATGCTGATTATGAATATATATACTTTATGAGGTCGAGGAAGAATTTCTAGGGATGTTACAAACGGAATGACAAAGTTAATATACATTCATTTTCAATGTTGAGGGTATAAATATGTAAATGTTTGTAATAGGAAAATGTAATAACTGGATGAATTTAAATAGCGGATAAATACTTACAACGTTATATGTTGGTAAATTTTAATATATGGACCTGTCATATTTCAACATAGTGGGGAAGTTTAATAGTCGTGTACGCTTCGTCGAATTTTAGGTAACGCTAGGCGCTGAATTTCCTTTTTCTCGACTTCATTGTACATTTTCGGTCCTAGCATTTTGAAAAAGGAGGCTACATGCAGATATATTCAATAACTCATATTAATACTACATGAATACATACACATTTGTTAATTAAAATGTAGACACACCATGTGCATCGAAAACTTACCAATTATTGTTTGAATTAATATGACATAGTTTAGAAGGATGTTGGGTATAATATTAATATTTATTTTGCAGGAAAGGTTGATAAAACAAAATATCGAAGACAATGGGTTAATCATGGGACGATAATAACGAACTAATCGATGACACATTATGCGATTACATACGCTAGTGTTTGATATTATTTCTTACTGAATTCCTCGCGGTTCTGGCAAAAACACATTCGCCAACAGCCACAGTCGCCGCGAACAGTCCTCCTGGCAGAAGCTCTTAACTATGAAATTCCAATTGTTTGCGGGATAATTTGAAACGTCAAAAGGTACATAAAAGCTTCTACATCCAAGGAATTGTTAAATTAGCGATTTTGGTTGTTGTTTTTATTTTGTGGCACTGCCTGCACATACTTGGAATATCCTTGCAAGACGGCAATTGACAGGAATTTCGAAAATTCCTTGAAAGTGCTAAAATTACCACTGAGAACAATGAGCAGCGATTTTAAGCCCACCCGGTAGCTGGTGTGACAAACAATCAAGTAGAGGGACCGACATTTGTCCACACACTCACTCACACAAATACACACAATTATGCCCATTTAAACGGAATCAGACTCGTCACGAAGTTCCACATCAGGTTGATTACTGTCTGATTTGTTCCATATTAACAGTCTCCGTCACTTTCAAAGGCACTACAGGATGGACGGATGGCAACTGTATGCTGTCATTGTTTCCCTGTCGTCGCCGCTATCAAAAAGTGCGCTCTTTCTTTCCGTGGCCAATTTAGGGGAATAGGATCCAGGCGGTTGTTCCAAATGCCACAAAACAAATTTGTTCTTTTCGAAGAATGTTTGGTATGCCAGAGTGATGCCTTGTTTAAATTCCATCATGTGCCAGTCGCTTTAGCAAAATACAAATTGAGATTGAGTTTCGAGACCCTATTGCGCACAAAGCGACAAACAAGGCTGTAGCAAATGTGAGCTGTTGCAATGAGTGAGTTGGTGGAGGCACAATGCGGATTGAGTTGATCGCAAACCAGTTATTGTTGTTATTGTTTTTAATTGTTCTGTTGCAGCGCTTAGTCAAACTGTAGGAATAGTTATTTGTTTTAACTGAAGCTCTTCACTAATTATGCACTAGATTTTATCATTAAACACAAAACATTTCTGTGGGCTTTTACAACCATCCAAATGACAACATTTGCATATGGCACAATACAATTTGAAGGTCTGCGTCGTGGTTTATGCCGAAACAAAAGTCAAAAAACCAATGCAGTGGGCGAAACAATGTGCAGTGGGGATGATGACGGTTTTTTTTGCGGGGATTATACCAAAATATCGATCATAACCTCTGAAAGTAGTGAACACAATCCCCATCACAACGGTGTAGGTTTTACGGCAAAGTAACTTTTTTGTTTTTTCCAATACAAAATCCGAAAACTGATATCTATCATTTGAAAACTTATGGAAATACCTATCAAAAAAGTGGTCATAAAAGCCGCTTCCGAAAGAAAATTTGTATTTTTGTTGCGGAACTTTTTGAAAAACCCCTAAAAATGGAAAATGCGCAAATAAGGGGCATTACCTACTAGATTATATCCTACACTCTTGCCTGGTGCGATGGTGCGATAAGAAATGTTGGTCAAATTGTGATTACACTCTATACTGAGATTGTCCTACTTTTAATCTCAG